TCCCTTCCTCCCCATGAACCCCCCTCTGGTCCCATGCGCCCCTCTAGCTACCCCTCCCTTCCTCCCCATGAACCCCCCTCTGGTCCCATGCACCCCTCTAGCTACCCCTCCCTCCCTCCCCATGGGCCCCTAGCCAGCCAGCCCTCCCCATGGGCCCCTCTAGCTACCCCCTCCCTCCCCGTCCGCCCCAGCCAGCCAGTCCTCCCCATACACCCCTCTAGCTACCTCTCCCTCCCTCCTCATACGCCCCTAGACACCCAGCTCTCCCCATGCACCCCTCTAGCTACCCCTCCCTCCCTCCCCATGCGCCCCTAGGCAGCCAGCCCTCCCCATGGGCCCCTCTAGCTACCCCCTCCCTCCCCATGAACCCCCCCAGTCTCCACGCACCCCTCTAGCTATCTCTCCTCCCCTCCCCGTGCCTATACACACCCCTCTAGCTACCCCTCCCCGTGCGCCCGTCTAGCTCCTCCTTCCTCCTCATGCACCCCTCTAGCTACCCCTCCATCCCACCCTCCGTCCCCGAGCGCCCCTCTAGCTACCCCCTCCCTCCCCATGAACCCCCGTCAATCTCCATGCACCCTTCTAGCTACTCCTCCTTCCCCGAGTGCCCCTCTAGCTACCCCTCCCTTCCTCCCCATGAACCCCCCTCAGTCCCCATACACCCCTCTAGCTACCCGCTCCCTCCCCGTGCGCCCCCCTAGCTAGCCCCTCCCTCCTCATGAACCCCCTCAGTCCCCATACACCTCTCTAGCTACCCCGCCCTCCCTTCCCATGCACCCCTCTAGCTACCCCTCCGTCCCACCCTCCCTCCCCGAGCGCCCCTCTAGCTAGCCCCTCCCTCCCCATGCTCACCCCTCTCTGTCCCCATACTCCCCCTCCCTCCCCGGGGGGCTGTAGGGAGCTGGTAGCGGTGACTCAGTGCGGGTGGAGGTGCTGTGCTAATGAAGAGAAGGTCCCCAATGTTTATGCTTCCTAGAAATCAGGGGTGCCGTACGGTGAGTGTCAGGGGCAAGCCCCGCCCTAGGACAGTCCATTCTGCCCCCTCCTGCCCCCTCCCTCCCCGAAGCCTCGTGTAGCTGTTGCCACGTGCTGCGCTCCACCCCAGAGGCGGCTGCCCAGCCCAGCGAAGGGGTGTCAAGCAATCTCTGCCCAGGCAATCCCGGAGCTGCTGTGCCGGGCCAGCTGCCACGAGCCTATAACGCCCCCGCCCCCGCCGTGCCCGCGAGGGGCGCAGCGCCGGGGCCCTGGCGCAGGGAGCGCGCCCTCAGCCAGCGCCTGCTGTGCGCTGCGCCATGAGCGCAGGGCCCGGCCCGGCTGCCGGCGAGGGCGCCCCTGCCCCTGCCCCTGCCCCTGGGCAATAGGCCCCGGGAGCGGCTCCAGGGGCGGCCACCTGCCAGCTGGAGCCAGGCCAGCCCCGCGCCCGGGACTTTCCAGGGCGGGGATGCGCGTTTCAGCTCCACGGTTGGTGGGCGAGGGGCCCGTGCGCGCCACCGGCCCCCCTTCCCTGGAGCCGGGGCTGGGCCCGCAGTCGCCCCCGCCCCCGCCGCCCTTCTGGGCTCCGCGGGGGGGGACAAGAGCCGTACGGGCCTTTGGCCAAATCCACCGCCCGGAGCACAGCTCCCCTGCGACCCCCCCGTCCCAGAGCACAGCCCCCCTACGACCCCCCCGGCCCAGAGCACAGCCCCCCTACGACCCCCCCGGCCCAGAGCGCAGCTCCCCCTGCGACCCCCCCGGTC